GCGAGTGGCTCCAGCAGATCCCGGGAATAACATCGGAGATCTCTGTCCAGAAGAGCGCAGTCCTGGGAACAGCTAAGATACTGCGCAGGACCCTCAAGCTCCCCAGGCCTCTGGTAGAGGACCCGAGCTTGAAGGATAAACCGCCCGCAGGGGCGTGCTGGGTGTTTTTTTTTTATTGACAACACTGCAGTGTGTAAAAGGCAAAGCGTTTTGAAAAGTACAAAATCAATCTCTTAATTTTTTTGTCAGGCCCTTCCTGAAGATTATTTTTGCAGTCCTGGTAAAGGCTGGGAAAAGCTTTTAGAGAAGCTTGAAAAGAAAACTGAGAATTATGGAAGGTGGCATGTCTTAAGCTTGGGATTAATTTTTTTTTTCATTCTTAATCAGAGGCAAAGACTGGAAAAAATAATTACCTGTGGGAAAAAAATTTATATTTCAATATTTAATATGAAGTATTTCATATAATTCATTATAGCTAAGGATCCAAAATGTCAGAAATTGAGGTCATAGCTTCTTTAAATTTGGCATGTGTGGTGTTCCAAAGAAGACTCGCCAATCCTCGATTTCACAATCCAAGATGGCAACAGTGCCTTTCAGTTTTTTTTATGATACAGTTCTAAGAGCTGCCATAGACTCAAATAGAAGAGGAAACAATATGATGTACAAAAAAAGGAGGACAATATTTGGGGACCGAGCAGTAATGATGAGAACGTGAAAGCTGGTCATTATTTGTGACAAAGCCAGCGATCCATATAGTTCTGCTCCCCTCATCTTTTGTCTTTGAGCTTGTTTTGGTTTTCCAGTCAGCAGCTCAGCTGTTTTGTTTTCACTCTGAGTGAACTCATTGCTTTGTTTTTGGTCACGAGATTCAGCTGTTTCATCTGAAGATGCCGTAAACACCCAACATTCACAAACTGCTCAGCAACAAAAGGCAGACAAGCAGAAGTAGCGGCTAGCTGAAAATACTTTTAGCAGCTAAGAAGCCAGAGATTTCCCAGAGGGAAATGCTAACCAAAGTCAGAACTAAAAAGGAGAGTGAATATCAAATTTACATTCATCAGGGGGCCAGAAGTCGACTCGGAATAAATGATGATGTTGCTAACTATCTACTGAAGGGTAAACAGGCATCTGTTCACTAACAAGTTACCACATCAATTTAAAAGTTGATGCTATGCTGCCCTTATTACCCAAGAAATCAATTACTGCATGTTTAATTTCAGCATTTACCACTAGCAGAGCACACCAAACACAAAATAGAGGGCAGTAATTCTTGACATTTGACATTACGTTAAAGTATAAAAAAACAGATTGGCTCAAGTCCATACAACATTTGAGCAAAACATGGCTCATCATTTTGCTGCTGAGTGTTTCAGCTGAGGCAAAAGAGTAGTTCAAAGTCTGCTCATCTCATTATTGGCAACAAGGATTTGCTGTCAGATGCATGTGTCTGCTGATGTGTGTGTTGGTTTAGGTTGGCAGGACATTTAGGAAAGGGAGAAGTGTTAACTGAGAACGTGGGCGGGTTAGCGTGAGGTTTGTGTATGTGCAGACACTTTCGCACATATTTAGTTTTTGCAGGCCCCTTTTCAGCGCGTACACACAAAAACAGACATTTTGTTTAGTATGTTACCGTCTCGTGTGCGTGTGAGTGAGTGAATATCTTTCAGAGGTGTGCAAACAAGGACAGAGAAGTGCTCTCCAACTGAAAATGTTGATTTAATATGGCCTGTAAAGCTGAATTTAAAACTAGGACATTTTTTCTTCACTGCTAAGCCAAGGTAAAATACCTCTTGTACCACGGCTTGTATCAGAGCCGAGTGGAATGCTGGGCATTTATGTGTACACAATTAAAAACTCATGAAACACATTTAAAACACAGCTTGTTTAAATCAAATGCTTCTGTACTCAAAGGTAGAAATTCCACAGAAGAACCTGAATAAAGCTGCTATTGTACGTTCTCTGTAGTGTCAGTGAATAAAAGAAGGGCTAAACAAATGCTGAAGCAGGTAAACCAAGGCTAAGTGCATCTGCAGTGTCACAACCTAGCAGTGTATGATATATAGAAAACTGACAAAACAAGCTATTACAGATTTCATTCATTCATTGTAGTTTCCAGTCAAAAGAATTGCTGAGATACATAGTATAGAGTAATAACTACACAAAGAAACAAGAAGCTGTGTTTCTGATTTTTGTCACTCAGTTTTGATAAAACAGGAAGTTATTTTCCAGACCACACTGTATGGAGGCAGTCAGGGACAGCAAACACACTTACACTTCACTTTACAGATCAACATTTTCTTCTTCTCCAGTCCATTTGTGTAACTTGTTATGTGTGATGTATGGCACTGGGTGTTTAGTTCTTTATTTGTTCAGTGTTCGGTTTGAATGCATGCAGGTTTGTAGATGTGGGATACTTCCATGCATGTAAAAACACATTTTTAACACATGCAGAGAAAGTTACATGACAGCAAGATGCAAACTGACTCGCACACTGCGGAAGACAGGAGTTTTACACAAACAAAACACACAAATGCTGTGCACAACAACAAAGAGTTTCTATATCTAATTTAATGTATAGTAGTAGTAGTTTTTTTTTTATTTTGCTGTGCTTTGTGTGCACATGTCCCTGCATGTTTTTGCATAGTGACCGGAGGTGACTTGCTGTGACAAAGACTTAATTGAACTGAATGGGAGTGAACTGAACTGCACGAAGAGAGGTTGGTTTAAAGAATGATGCCGAGAGGAATGTGATCCAGTGCCTCGCCAAGGCTGTGAGTCACAGCCAGCCGTGCAGCCAGCAGTTGAAGACAGTCGCTTAGTTTGATGTTAACTTGTTTCTCCTCCGGCGGCGGCTGTCACCTCTTGGTATGCCTCTGTAGCGGGAGCTCAGATCAGTGGGGTATCTGAGGGCCTGTCGTTCTGCTCTCCATCACAGCCACCACAGTTTGCTCTAGGACACAGGTAGCAAAGCTGCACCGCTAACTGAAGGCTAGGAGATTTATGTAGCTGGCAGTCCTGGTTGCTGATAGTGCTTCATGGTGGCTTGCTCACTCATTCCTTCTTCCTTTGTGTATTTATTTTGTAGTATAGTGATTTGAATATAAATATGCTATTATACTTCATGAAATTGAGGTTTTAAAATAAGGTTAAATCTTGCCAAAACAAAGTCATTGTCAAGTGATAATCAAGGCAAACAGTGGCTGCTTTTTATAAATGATATTTAAGATCTTTTTAAATGCTACAGTATTTGTTTCCGAGCGCCTACTAACATTTTAATTACAAACAGTTTCGTTTCATCATAATTTAACGTGAATATAGATGTCTAACTGTAATGAATGTATTGTGATTTCATTTTTCATAGTAGACTTTATCCATCTCAACAGTGGAAAATAAAAAAAGGGCACAAAGGACACGTCTCTGTGACCACTAACTACCAGAGACTTGAATCAGATGGCATTTTGGCTTTTCTTAGCCACGTCTCTTCTGGCCATTTTATTAACACAAGCTGCGCATAACTGCTAGGCCAATGAATCAGATAGCAAGTAGTAGCCTGAATGCTGTTCCTATCAGCAATATAGCCAGAACAAACTGCATATCATTTTAAGTTGATTGGTTCAGTTAGCTGTCAGGGACAAGTGATGTCTATCTGTGTTAGAGCAACTTCCTGTTTAGGCGGAGCCAGAGGCGGTCAGCTCACACATGGTTGTCCCAAGGCTGTGGTGATGGGCTCAGATGATCAGCTGAAGGCTCTGCTGGCTGAGTCAGAGGTGATCCTAAGTGGCCCTGAGTGATAAGTGTCGGAGCTCAGACTTTGGTGGTTTTTTAATGAGCTGAGACAACCGCACACATATAAAAAAGCACAAAAGAAAGGTTTGAAACATGACTCAAAGTCAAGTTTAAAAAAATGTGTTCGCTTACTCAGTCAAGGCAACAAACTTCATCTTTGTCTTTTTGTAAATTTAACTACGTTTTGTTGTTTCTCTTTTCTGCAGGAAGTTGTACATTTGATGAGGGCTTCTCTCAATGTGACTACCAACAAGATCCTTACGATGACTTTGACTGGACGCACATCAACACCCAGGAATTGCCATATGTCTCACCACACCTGCCACAAGGTGAAGCTCAAATTCCTTTCCCCTCATGTTTGTCATCTCCTACTTCATCACCTCAAAGTGTGGAAAGCAGCTTATTGTTTAATGCAGTTTGAAGTGCTTGAGCTCTTTTTCAAGTTTCACCATTTTTTAGATGTAATTTCTTCTTATTACTGCAGCACATTTATTATGCAGGATTATTACTGCTCTGCTATATCCCAACTATATCAGTCAACTTCTGATAATCACATCGTGTATATACTGAACTATGAACAGCGGTTTGCAACTTTTGGTTGTTTTTTTTTTTTTTGGTTGCTTTCCCCTAAAAAATGTTTCACTGAGTTGTGAGTTGTTAGCAGCTACATTTTTTGTCTTAATTTTCCCAGGTGGTTTCATTTAAACAACTATACAAGCCTAATTCTGATGCAGAATTACCCAATATTTCAAAAAAGCAAAAATAATTTTGCAGAGCAGCTTTTTCCCCTCTCAATTAATCATTCCATGAGCCTGCAGATGTAGTTTGCTCCCTTTTGGAGGGGGTCAGCCCCTAGGCTGGGAATAACTGGACTAAATGACCGAAGCGTATGCAGTATAAAACTAGCTCTACCTCGGGCAGCTGCCGCAGCAAAATGCTTCTTACATATTGATGCATCGGTGTTCTGCAGATCACACACTTTCATTTTGATGCTTTAAGTTTATTTTGCTGATAATACTAGTTTTGTACTCTGGCTGAAGTAGGAGCTGATTGACTGACTTTTACTTTAATGGAATATGTATATATCACTGTACAAGTTCTTGGTGCTTTTTCCTCTCCTCTCCTCTCCTCTCCTCTCCTCTCCTCTCCTCTCCTCTCTAATCAGTTGTTTTTTTTCTTCATGATGATGATGAAGGGGAAATTAAATCTTTCTGCCTCAGGGCTGAGGGTCTAATTAACAGAATATGAGGTCATTAATCAACGGCAGGGAACAGGGAAGGTTGCCTGCTTTACAATGTTAAAACCAAAATGTTATAACAGTAACCAGCTATGCAATGTTGAAATGGTAACTAGCTTTACAAAAAAACACAGAGTAAGAATGTCAAGTGGAAGTATGAACCTAACCACATTAAGGAAACTGTGTTGCAGTGTAGCACCACAAACATAGTTTGCTTCTCAGCATTGTTTCTCCTTTCCTTTCCTTTTCTTTTTGATCTCACGTTACCTTGATTCTTTTCACCCTCTTCTCTTACCACTTCTTTCCTCTGACCTATCCTCTTCCTCTGTTGTGGAAGATTATGATTTTGTTTCCATGACAATGCAGTGCTGTTATTTATCTCTCAGACTTATCTTCATGACAACCCAGGCTCGCTGACATTTAGAGAAAGGTTCATTTAAAAGCCGACTTTTTACAATTTTCACACACAAAGACCCACTTTGTGTGTCGTGCATGTGTGGTCTTGCATATAATTAAGCACTGACACAAGAGTGTGGTGCCCAGTGGTACAAAGCCAAAGTCTATCATTTAGCATTATTAATACCAAGTGGTGTCACTGTGCTGAGAGGGCAGCGTTGGCAGCCTGAAGAGGTTAAATACCTTGCCTAAGAGTGCAGAGGTAATGGCTGCAATTAACATAGCATTAATGGCTGTTGAAGCTAGTGGAACGAGCAGGGGCATGGGGATGGCAGAGCAGGTTAATGGTTTGGAGATGTTGGTTGCTAAAGGGGAGGTTCAGAGCCTTGCCTAAAGGTATGGGAGCATGAACTGACATTTGATGTGTTAATAATGCCAGTGGGGTGTGGAACAGTGGTGCAGTGGATGGAAAACGAGGTTGCTAGAGGGGATTACAGATGCAGCACTTGGCTAGATTTCTTTTTGGAAGGAGTTAAGGGAAATGGGTGAGGGGTTGAGTTGGTTGCTTAAGTGCCATGCCCAGGGAAACTTTAGTAATGTCTATTATTAGAATAGTTTTCTCAAGCTATCCTAGCCACCAGTAATTTAATACTCTGGTCTGGCTAACTACAATCTCCCTGAGGGCATGGCTTGATTTAAGAGGAGTGGCATTAAAGTCTTTTGGGTTCTGACCCCTGAAAACAAAGGAATACCAATCCCATTGTTTGGGGAGTTGTTAAGAGCTCCCAAAGAGCTTTGGGAGTGACTTTTTTCACTGATTAGTACATCAGTGGGTTTATTTTGTCAAAGGTAAGGGCAGAATAAAAGGAGTCATCTACTAGGGGAGTTACACAGAATCCTTTTAGAGTTATAGCAGTGACAGAAATGATACTTTTGTTCCTTATAACCCACAATGATTTGTGCCAGTTGCTAATCACCATTTGTGCTTATGGCAGTACTGACATTGCAGGGACAGTTTGGCAGTGTTTGTAATAAGAGATAAAACTCTTCTATGTAATGTCTCTGGGGGTCACTGTTGGCACTAGTCACCATGGCAGGGTCTACAAGCTACTCTGGCAATGTGCATTGTGCCAGTTGAACATTCATGGGCAGGGGCCCTGTGGCTCAGTGGACTAAAGCAGATACTCTTGACTCATAATGTTGTCAGCCAGTACCACTCAAAACCTATTTGGCATGCCATTCTCTCCATGTCTCTCATGTTTATCAGTGTGTGCTATCTAATAAGGAGGGGAGGCATTTAAAATGCACCAAAGCTGGTCTCATGTGCACTAAATGTTTTAATAATGATCAAATAATGAAGAAGGCAGCAACACCGTTATAAAATACTTAAAATTACCAATAAATCCAACCTTTATGACACAGTTCCTACAAGACGTGAGTGTTAACCTTCACAAAAGCAGTATGCAGTTTAATTAAAAAGTATAACAATATGGGGACATTTTTAAAGCAACAAATTAAGATAGAAGTGCTAATTAAATTTCAGAATTATAAGGCAATGCATAATAAAATAATGAATTATAGTCAGAAAAGGGAGTGGAAATGTAATTTCCACTGTTGCTTATATGTATAGAAAACTAAGCATGGCCTCTGGAGATGCAAGCTGTGTCTTGAAGTGAAAAGAAAAAATGAAATTAACTCCATGTTTGACTCCAGGCTACATAATCTGTAGTCTGTGCAGTGATCTTCCTTCCTATGAATGAAGAGCATGTGTTACTGTGGAAGGGTATTTGACATCTCACGCATCTTGATTGGCGCCTTAAAATGCTAAAAATGAAAATACCCCATTAGCTGTTATTCCAGCAGCTAGCTGTTATTGTTTTGCTGGAGAATACTGTCCCCAGTCTGCCCTGCTACTGTTGTTCTTGTTGCGACATATCTGGGGCTCAAGGCTATCACAGCGGTATTTTAGTCTCATCTTTAATTATCTTGTGTCATTACCCTTTTACCGGCCATTTTAGACTTTAGCCATTCAAAAGAATCAGCCATTTTAGAAACAAACCTCAAGTGTCAGATGTTCTTGGCATCATAAGGTGCTTGCTTAGCATGGGTGTAGCGGTGTAGCATCAGTTTTGTGTGCAGTGAGTCTTTCATTATTACTCATGTTTTCAAATGCAGCTTTTGTGCCAGGTTAGGTCTTGTCATTGTTCTGGTGTAATCGACTGATATTCATGTGGTTTCTAAAATATATGTTGGAATTATTTCAGTAAACAGACACTGTTGTCACATATTACTCAGCTGTTTTCAACCTATACTAAATCCTTTTCCTGTTATATTTTTGTAGCAGGCAGCGCTTTGATTAGCTGAAGTGCTAAAGGTTATATTTTGCAACGTTGTTTGTGTTGTGACATATCTGGGTCTCTGACTGATAGGAGTATTTTTAGCTGGCACATCATCTTGGCAGCCATCTTAAAGGCTCTTTTTTTCAAGTCACCATCTTAGCGTCAGTGGCACAAATGAAAAAAACAAAATAAAGGGAGTGATGTCCATTATATGTTCATTTTGCAGCAGATTTAGATAGAGAGGAAATCGGTGCCGGCCTTGTTTTGTTTCCAGTCTGATTGGCTGTAGTCCAGTTTGGCTGGAGTCATTTCGGGTTTTGTTTGTGACATTCAGAACCAAGAAGTGAGATTATTCTAATACCTGCATGGCAGAAAAAAGCGCAGAGATAAAAAGAAAAGAACAGCCAAAACGATAACTGGGGTACTGAGAAGCTGATGTGCATGTGTGTGCATGTGCGCACACATGTCCGTGCCTCCACATGTTTGTGTGCATCCGTTCAAAGCCTGTTATGTTCTGCTCCATTCTGCAGAGAGATGTGTTTTCTCACAGTAGATTAGCTAAACAATAAGTGATAAGCGCTATTGTCTAGAAACCATTATATAGTACATATTATGTACAGTCTAATATGCAAATACAATTAACCAGGGGCATTTTATAGAATGTAGGGTTTTATCCAATTTGACTTTATTTAATTGTATTTAATTCTATACTGTCCTATTCTATTCTATTCTATTTAGGATTACATCTGCAAATGAATGAATTTCAATAGCCAAGAATTTCAAACCCAAAGATATCCAATTTATGACAATATACATTTGTCTTCATAGGTGATTAATACGAATTGCATATTCAAAACAAATATAACAATATACGTTTCAAGGAATTAGACTTAATCGTTACCATGGGATCGTTTCTGTGAATTTGTGATGAGCTAATGTGAGATTGTGAGATTAAACATCATGCAGAGCAGGATCACATTTTATCATATTTCATTGCATCAACATCTGGTTCGGGTCTGAGCTGATTACTAGAACATCTGGAAGGACAGTTTGTCTGTCCTGTTGGTACAGCCAGATTATTCCCTTCAGTCAGCTATAATGGTGTATCATGCTGTCATGGTATAGTACTCAGTAGGCTAGCGAAGTACCTGAAGTATATTTATTCTTGGCTTGCTGATGTTGTAGAGAATGAAACATTTCTCCAGTGTGCCATTGTGTTAGCATAACAAAAGTAACTGATTTGTGTGTGAATTCGGTGTTGAAGGGGCCAGAATAACGTAAACAACAGAAGTGAAAACAGAGAAGCATCGCCCAGAGAACTGCTAGGAAATCAAATCAACCACTAATCATGAAATCAGAGTGCGAAATCTATTGTGACAATTTGGAGGTTCCAGTTCCTCAAATGAGGATACAGCAGAGTTTGTTTCCTGCCATAAAAGCATTGTTTAGTCACTTATGTATATTAAAAAGTGGTGCATCATTTATCCATTCTTCTTCCAGGTATTGCTCTGGTTTCTTCTGAAGAAGCTGCAGACATTTAGTTTCCTCTTTATGCGTCATTCCAATTGTTGCACATCTTCCAATTATTATTATTTGTTTCCAACCTTGTGCCAGGTCACTTTTATAGACTTGCTCAGCTGCATGTACTGCTGCAGTTTCTCCGTTATTTCTAAAAGGACTGCTGAGTAGAAGGTAACAAACAAAAATCAGTGCAAAATATTATTTTAAAGTTTCTAAATACTTTAGACTGTTATAACCTTGTACAGAAGCGGTTGGATGCTCGGTACATACAGCCCACTCTTTGGCAAATGCAGTCATAGTTTCACTGTCTACACACTAACTAGCCCCTCAGAGGGCATCCTTGCTAGTCTGTTCAAGCACTGAATTTTTGAAGGTATGTGTTGGCACAAGCACAAGCAGCTGCAAACAAAATGAGCAATTCATTGGTCTTGATCCGGTCAGATTTAAAATTGCTGCATTGTTTGCTTTCCAACTGTGGTTAAAGTCCTATGTTTCTTTCCTTTCACGCAGGTTCCTACATGTATGTTGACGTCTCGCAGTATGATGTTGGAGAAAAAGCCAGGTTTCAGCTGCCAGTCATGAAGGAGAATGATACTCACTGTATCGACTTCAACTATCTCCTCAGTAGCCCCGATGGCTCCAGCCCTGGCACGCTCAACGTCCTGGTGAAGGTACTGAGATCCGATCTAGTAGAGTAGATTGGATATGTAGTAGTTAATTGTCTTAAGGGACCCTATGATGCTCATTCCCAACTACCTCTTATTATTTCTGAGCCAGTGCGACTTTGGATGATTCACAGTTTAAAATAATCCTTTTTTATCTTATACTGGGTCTTGGCGCAGCCCATTGTTTTAGCTGGGATCTGAAACTATCTGAGCATTACTGGCCCTCATAATAAGTTTTAACGGCAGATGTTTACCTGAGAGAGCCCGTTGATGTTGTAAGCCCTCTCTGACATCATCCAGATATAAGAGTAAAAAATAAAGTGCTAGCAAAACTGCTAGTTTAAAGCAACTCAGGGACAGAGCTGTTAGCTCACATGGATTACCTGCACATATGGTGACATCATTATTTGCAACTTTGGCCATGTTTATGCCCAGCTATGTAGAGTTAATATGTGCCAGAAAACAGAAAAACATAGTAGACCTCAATTAACTGACAGTTATATTTATTTGGATTTTTCTAATTAGTAAACAAACCAGCTGAATCAAGACCAAATGTACACCTCCACCAGCCACTATACAGCAGTGTACATTCTCTGAGGCTACATATTATAGAGCCCAAGCTGGATTGCATTATTCTAAATTAATTAAAGGAGTTTGTTTGTCACAAAAGCAGATGGTGACCAAAGCCTCTCCATTTAAAACAAAACAGGACAGAAGAAAACAAAGCAAAAGAATACTGGATTTTTTGGAAATTCTTGGTTTTAGTTTTATGAAACATCCCCGCAATTATTGCAGCTAACATGCAATAGAGGCTGCTGATTGCCTTGCTTTAACCAACACTTTCATTTCACAATTAAACATGATTTTTAAAGCAACACACATGCAGTCTCACGTTTATTTCAAAATAACATTGTTATTTATTTTATTTAAATAATATGGAGAAGTACATTCACATATCTGGTGCTTTGGCAGTCTATTCCACAGTTATTTCCATAACACCTCTGTCTCCTGATCCTATTCTTTTCTTTTTTCTGTGTGTGAATGTTCTTAGAAAACACATTAAGATTAGATTGTAGTTTCTTTGGAATTTCCTGGCTAGAGCCAGGTGAGCTGTAATAAACCAAGAAAAAGATGCCTGACTGGAATGTAAAAGGGGCCTCTGTGGATAAATCATGAATTGCAGTGCACTGCATGCTTATAGGTTCATTTTTGTGTAAACTATTTTGTGACTGATTGTGGTTCTGTTTGATTTCTAGGTGAACAAGGGTCCCTTGGCTAACCCTATATGGAATGTGACGTCCTACACCGGTAAAGACCAGCTCACAGCAGTGCTTAATCTGATTCAATTCAGCGTTTATGCATTATTCCTTATAATGGCTTATTTTGACCCTGATGTCGTTGTCCAGGTAAAGAGTGGTTGAGAGCCGAACTTGCCGTTTCCACCTTCTGGCCTAATGAATATCAGGTAAATCAGTAAAATAACAAACAGCAACTACACAGTTAGAACATCCCACTATCATGCATATTTCTTTACTTTCTGTCGAACTGATGTGAAAACGCAGATGTCACACAGACACACACAAATAAAGGCAAACACATACACGTGCTGTGAGGCAGGCAGCTGATTTATTTGTGTTGACTGAGGCTCAGGAGGTGGCGATTAGGCTAGAAAGACACTTAGAAAGACCAGCCGGGTGTGTGTTTATGTGTACACGTGTTTGCACGCATAGGGGTGTGTCGCCATGCTGGACACTGACATTGTTGCTATTGCCCTATGGTCTTGTTTATGTGTTTTTAATGAGCAGCTGTCTGACCTGACCCTGAACATGAGATTCACATAGGAAAATCTATTGCGGGAATATTGTTGTAGGTTACATTATACTGATCTTATGTGCATATTTGTCTCTTCCTTTTTCTTAATTTATGTCAGTCAACTTGATCTGTGCGCGGTCGTTGGGTGATGTTCAGACATGTGTGTACGTTACAGGCTGAGCGTTGTAGCTCCATACACACACTGATCATGTTAACACACACAGCCAGAGGACTGTGTAATATTACTATAAAGCAAAGTGTAAGAACATCCTCCAAATGGCCCATCTGGAGCCCAGTCCCCCTCAGCGGAGATCACCAGCATGAAACTCGTGTGTCAACATGTTTTAATTGGAACATAATCATCCAGGTTTGCCAAGGATTATATAGGTTTTGAGGCTGGGAAACAGGTTATTGGATTTCAAAGTATGAAGCTATTTTATCATGTTGGAACATGTTTCTCTGTTAGCACTTTAGCTTCAGCTGTAATGAGACTCGTTTCACCAGGGGAAGACCTGTCGCATGCAACAACAGATGCACGTATGAAATGCAGACAAAGCCACATAACACAGTTTAAGAAGACCTTGTAGTCCTCTTAAACATTTTGTCTTTCTTGGCTCTTTATTTCAACTGAAAACTTAACAATCTTAACCGTTTCTAGATCTCCACAATGCAGTGAAGAAAGAACTTTATATAAAGATAATAATATCTGGTGACAGTTTGATATCAGAGTAAAAATATATTCCAAGGATTGGTGGTTTAAGTGATGTGTTTTGTTTTTATTTATCTTTTTTTAAACATGACAGTAAATCTTGAGTTTTGAGCTCTTGGTCAGACAAAACAAGATATTTTAAGACTCATTTTCTCACAGGAACTTAAATTACCTTATGCGTTAATTCATATGATATATATACAGAAACAGTGCCCAAACACAATTTACATTTATTAATCTTTGGGCTATAAAGTCACATGAAAATGTTCCTTCCCTGCAGCTTTAACCTCCTAAGACCCGAACTCTTCCACAGCATGCATTTTTAATTTCTCTTTGATATTTGGGCATATTGGGGCCCAATGAATGTAAAAACAAAGAATTACCAGATTTTTTTTTTACCTTATTTTTGTTTTTATGAAAAATCAGAGCCACATATGAGGATATTCGTTTAAAATTTTGATAGAACAGTAGCAGTATAATGTCCTTGTAAGTGGATATCAGGCCCTTGTAGAGCAAAATTGAGTATTTTGGTCTAAATAACCCAAAATGTGATGTCCACATATGTGGACGCCAGGTCCTAGGAGGTTAAACATGTTTGATTCAATGGCCATGCATGCATAAACTGTATCTGAGTGACGTACTCTGGAGTAATGATGTAGGCTTTAACATTTCAGAAAGCAATAAACCTGCTCTACACTGATTGGATTGGTCAGATAGTGAGTGTTTGACCCCCTGTATGTATCAGAGGTGACCACAATCCAATATAAGAATATGAATTCAAATGGCTTTATGGTAGACAATTAACTTTTACAAGAAGGTAAAATGACTTGCCCCCAAGCCACATGTCCCTGGGCATGATGAAAATCCTTTCAATACCACACTCATGAGTACACAAACATTAGCAGAGTGTAGATTTAAGACCAGCTCAAAAAATTGATTATAATCTTTGATTTGACTGCAGAGACTTGCTTCACTGCCAAAAGAGATGACCTGAGATTTGAAAATGTTTAAAAGTTTGATGTCAAGTTTCTTGCTTTTAAAGTTCCTAAATGCTAAAATTTAATTGGACACCAATGGGCAGACCTTGTGTACTCAGTCTTTCATTCTCTGTCAGGTTCAAACAAGTTCATAACCAAGATATAATTTGTTCAGCTAAATGTCCACAGACAAACCTCAGACTATACTGTGGGTTAGATTCCACTCACTGCAAATTCAGAAAGGTTGTTAAAGATTTTTTAATCTCACTTTTGAATAGCAGGCTGGTAAAGAGCCAGCCCTAAGCCACACATTTCATTTAAGTATTATGTCTATATTAAATAATTTCCTTTAGGCTATGTAAGAAGAAAAAGTATTAAGATAATTTGAGAGGATTCATTTTATTCACTTTATTTGGGGAACATTCATTGCCCAGACTTGTGACCCGAGTTCGTCCTCAATGACTTGAAGCATAAACATAAAACATTGGTTTATATGTTTTTATACATGCACCTACATGCAGGTGTGTAGGAGGCAGGCAGACAGGAAAGCTTGGCAGACAGGAAAGACGGAGATGAAGGTATTAAAAGTCAGCTGATGTCTTTCTGCTGGGCTCCGCAGTGAGCTATGAGTGAAAGATGATAGGAGAGAGAGACAAGATAGATTGGTAGGGCAGGGAGACCGAGAGGGGGAGAGTGTGACAAGCAGGAGATGATAAGCTGTGGGTAAACAGTTCACGGCAGATTTCCTTTTACAGGTGATGAATGACAACAACTGCTCACTGCCTTGCTCTCTTTCTCCCTCTGCCTCTCTTTTTGATGGCTACCTCCTCTTTTCTCCTCCTGTCCCTTCTCTTCTGTTCATTAGGTGCTCCTTTCTAAATAAACACTGTTAGAAAACAGACAGCAAGCGAGAAATAGAGAAAGGGGAAAAAGGCTTGGGAAGGCTAACGTATGGACAAGGAGGAGGAAGTGAAGAAGAGAGAGATTACGATGAGGTGGATTTTCCTAATTCAGATCCTTAGTGAGCTGCAGGGAGGTTGAAGCACCTGTTGACTGTTATGACTCCACTTAAAATCTACAAATTTAGCTTGCCAGTGTTATTTAGTGTTAAGCAGGTAATTTGCCTACTCAGCCATGATTGCTTATTTCTTCCAAGCAATAATACTAACACATGAGAAATTAGTTCACGGCAAGAATGTCCACAGATTGTTTTTTTTATTTTCATCAGATTCATAATGGTCACCCATTATATTTTAAAGTTATATATACATGAAAATCGTAATGGGTAATCTATTTTGCCCAATTATCAGCTTACATTTAAATACTTTGTAAAGTCCTGGTGGATTAACAAACACTGTGCGTTTCCATTCCCCAAGGGAATCAAAACAAGCACGACAGGTTTGTTTTTCCAGTTCATCCGAGGCCATTCCCATAACGCTGAAACTTTCACTACCTTCACCAGGTCATGGTACTCAAATCACATTTTAGTTCTACCCTTAAGAATGAGCTGTTTCCAACTATCCAGCACTTTTAAGGCGGCCTATACCATGAAGTAATGGTTTTTTTGGAAGCTTTTCTAGGGAAACTAAAAGTGCATTACATACATACTCGTTGATTAAACTCCTTTAAAAAAAACAAGCAGCAAAGGATTTTGGTCTTACAGTTTGGTTAGTCATAGCTTTTGGCATCACAGTCAAAATTGTTGCAAATATTACATAACGTTTAAAGTATTGTGGATCTTCCAACACTATGAAGAAAAAGGCTTAAATGGCTGATCGGAGAGCTGTTCATGCAGTAGAAAGGCAGCTAATGGCAGCCTCCCATGCCTCTAATGTGTGACTCTGTGTGTTTGAAGTATTTATCAATCATTGACCTGCTGGTAGCACAAAAATGAAATTAGGAATTATCCTGTGGGGAACATGGATGTCAGTACAATGGATTTACTGAATTTAACTCCCAAGGCCAACACTATTATCATAGCTAAAAGAAAATTGAATTTCATGTATTTATTTTGGGGGGTTTTTTTCATCCTTTGCTGAAGTTCTCATCATGTGTTACATGCACAGATGTTTGACAACATAAGGAAAACAGACAGATGCAGGAAAGGAAAGGAAAGCAAAAATAGGCATGAGGAAAAAAGAACAAACAGAGAGGTCATAGCCCTTTGCTCTCTGACTTACCACACTGGATTTCAGTATATACTATAATTTCTTTAGCAGCCATTTTTGTGTACCCAAAGAGATTACTATGATCCATAAGGAAGTATCTCATTTATCCTCCCTGCCGTGTTGGGCAGAATTTATAAATCCAGCGGCATTCAGGGTGGCGGTTTTGAATTTATCCAGTTTAAAGCACATCACCAGCTGCTGTCGGTGACTTTCAGCCTGCTTTAAGATTGAATTGTTCATATTCACAACAAATTGAAATGGCAATAGTCTCACTTTGCAGCTTCCACTGCACTTAGGATGCATCAAACCAATTTGTGATCTGGTAACAGTACTAAAGAGTTGATTTCGTAACCATAAGGGGCTTGTGATTTGCAAACAGAGCATTTGTAGATTATTTTCTCTCAGGCTTTGACTTTGTTTTTCCTGTTGTTGTATTTTCTGTTTTTGATACACGGTTTATGTGCACAAATTGTTACATTTGCAAATTCAACTTCTTCAAGGTTTCAAGCTCAAGCATTTTGTGTGCTACTTGTAAATGCTGTTGTCAGTAATTGTGCATGCTAATTGTATGGGAATTTATTAATTAGCACATTAAAAAGATGTTATTTCAGGATATCTTCATCTCAGTGTTAATATTAACTGTTTAAACTGCAATTGGGAGAGCAATAGGTAAATCTCCTCTATCTCTCTTCTCTCAGGTCATATTTGAAGCTGAGGTTTCGGACAGCAAAGCCGGCTTCATCGCCATAGACGACATTCAGGTGCTCAGCTACCCATGCGGTGAGTCATTAGCATGCCAGCAATTAGTCCTAGTTCGCTGGATAGACGCTGATAGCTTTGGCCACTAATTAGACTGTACCTGGGATGGTTTCTGTTGCACTTGAATGGGTAGATAAGTGGGAAGGTGACACAAGAGAGGAGGGATGTGGCAAGAGGAGAAAGGCAAGTCGTAGAGAAAAATGAGAGAAATAAAAAAAGGAGAGTGGAGGAAACACAGAGAGAAAGAGGGGAATAGGAGAGAGTGAAGCGGGAAATGAGACAGTATTAGGGCAATCATGGAGAGAGAAGATTCTGACCACTCAGCAGTTCTCGCTCTTTCTCTTTAACCCACAAGCACACACAGATGCGTGCACACACACACAGAGTGAACAGTAGCTTTCTTGTCTCTGTACTGACAGGAAAGAGATGAGGGCTGCGATCCTTTTTAAATTCTCAGTACGTCTCAAGTCTTCCTCTCTTCTTTGCTTGAGTGTTTCCTTACCACTAGAGGCTAGAAAAAAAGTGTTGTGACGACAAACTGTTAACAGAAGGGTCGTCCGTTAATCTAAAGCCATAGGCATGTTCCTGGAGAGGCAACTATTACAGCTGTTTTTGTTATCTATCTAGCAGAAGCACTGAAATCTTCCAGGACAATTCTGTTTCTTAATGGATTCTATTGATTATAAGTCATAAAAATAAAGTGTCGTGAACCCTTGTAGAGTTTGTGGGGTCGTGGTGTCCCTGTGGTCCCTGTCTCTGTCACAAGTTGTCGATATGAGTCAGAAACACATTTCTACACTTGGATGTGAAATCTTGTAAAATATGGGAGGGAAAAAAGGATCCCTGGTGTTTTAAAGGCAGAGCAGCGGGGCCCTTAATAGGAAGGAGCAAGTATTTAAAAAGGAATTAGTACTTAGTCTCCACAGTGGAAGCATTCATTCTCACAGCTGCATTTCTGGACACACGGGTTTGTGTGTGTGTGCACATGTTCACATGCGTGCATGTGTGAGCTTGTGTGTTTGTGAGCGTGTGTCCGTGTGTGTGTGTGTTTTCATTCACCATAGGAGCTGCTATCTATGATTGCAATCACATCCCCAGAATAAAGATGTCACGGCTGAACTGCATCTTCAGGGTCTAAAAAGGCTTACTTCATTATCTTAGCATGGTATTTAAGAACTGGAAGCTATGTCAAGTCACATGTAGTGAAGGTGGCATTATTGTTACCTGGCAATGGCAAGTCAGTACTGTGCTGTGGTCCAGTAAAACATAATAATGACAAAAATGAACATATTCCTCAGGGTGGCCCATCGTCCTGAAATGTATTGTGTGTTTGTGATAAGGTGACCGTTTTGTCACCTCATTTCCATTTTAAAGAGAGGAATAAAATCAAAACATTTTAAAGCACAAATACATATATCCTCGCTGTAAACCTAATCTGATTCGCCTCTTTGTTTGACCTCATTTCCTGCAGATAAATCGCCTCATTTCCTGCGCCTTGGGGATGTGGAGGTGAACGCTGGACAAAATGCCACTTTTCAGTGTATCGCCACGGGGCGAGACACCTCAAACAATAAACTCTGGCTACAGGTACAACCAAGAAAACATTTGCAAAACGTGTGTGGTGTGCTGTTATTACACCAACAAGTTCTACAAGGCATTTGTAGCAAGACCAGATCTAAACGATTAATTATGATTATGGGGTTATTTAACTAGCAGTATTTAAATTGCAATAATATTCGCAGCCTTTCAAGTCCAGATCCAAAAACAGCCTGTTTTGTCACATCTAACAGTGGTATTCATTTTAGTGTACCCAAATACAACATTATTGAATGGATTTCATTTATGTACTTATTTATTTTTACAGAATATGACAGTTAAAAACATATTTAAGAAAGTCAACTTTAAAGCCAGAAAGGCTTGATAAGTTAAGAGAAAATTTATACCACTGGACTCAACTAAGAGCATGTTTTCTGTAATTGGGACAGACTTTCCCTTCATTATATGACTCTCTGTCTTCATAAAGTTGCAGTACAAATGAAAATGAGCAAGGTCTTGCTAAATCTGTCATTGCATTCTTGTGCTGATTAATGCGAGCAGTTCCTTGTAAAATAATATAAATATGCAGTATATAGCTTTATTTACTTAACAACACAAAGAGTGTACTGAATGTGACACCCTTAGGACTTGTATGTCCAATTATAAAGTGTCAACTGCGCAAACACACAAGTACACACTCACACAGTCACAGTCACACTGACTGACTTCAGGCCATACATCTAGCAGCTAACATGATTAAGAGTTTAATAGCTGCTGATTTCATTATGGTTCTATTGTAGTCATGACCTTCAAACCTGCTGTCAGCGAAGCAGAGGGGGATGAGAGTGTGTACACACACGAGTGTGTGCGCACGTGTCTGTGGTCAGTGCTGGCTGACCTTGCGCAAGGCATTTAACCCTTCGTCTGTGAAGGTTCTCAGTCATCCAGGTCATCGTAGTCAAAGGAGCTTGCAAAGAAAAGCGTCTGTACTTCTTTAAGTTACTTGAAGACGTTTCACCTCTCATCCGAGAAGCTTCTTCAGTTCTAAGGTCAAATGGTGGAGAGTCCCAGATATAAACCTAGTGGGAGTGTCCCCCCACAGAGGGACAAAAGGACCCCCTGAAGGTGTGAAAGTGGGTGTGGGTCCCAATCAGCCAGAGTTTCGAGTGATCTCAGGAATCAATGATCTCAGGAATTCGCATGATAAGGTGGGGCCAGGTTTCACAATGAACTCACCCGAAACTCTGGCTGATTGGGACCCACACCCAGTTTCACACCTTGGCTCAGGCGATTAGAGGATCATCAGGGGGTCCTTTTGTCCCTCTGTGGGGGGTTACTCCCACTAGGTTTATATCTGGGACTCTCCACCATTTGACCTTAGAACTGAAGAAGCTTCTTGGATGAGAGGTGAAACGTCTTCAAGTAACTTAAAGTCCAGACGCTTTTCTTTGCAAGCTCCTTTGACCATTTAACCCTTCATACCCGCTGCAACACCTGATCTGTCTGTCTGTGTGTGTTCTCTGTAGAGGAGAAATGGAGAAGATATTCCAGTGGCTCTGACCAAAAACATCAACCACAGACGGTTTGCTGCCTCCTTCCACCTCAAAGAAGTCACTAATCAAGATCAAGATCTGTATCGCTGTGTCACCCAGTCAGAGCGCGGCTCTGGGGTGTCCAACTTTGCTGCGCTTATCGTCAGAGGTGAGGATTTTGAAAAACATTTTCAAGGTTATTTAATAGATTTTCTGTCAACTTCTTTGCTGCTTTTTTAAAAATCTGATAGTAGTATATTTATATATAAGCTTTTTTGAAGAATTCTTGGACGTACAATGAAAGTTCCCAGTGTATTAATTTTTAATACAGTGTGTCAACAAAGTCAGACAGAAGTAAACAAAATCAGGATTCACAGGAGCTTGAGCCATTTATCAAATTTGTTAGCTTAAATCACAGCTGCCAATAGCATATTTTATCATTAGCTAAGTAATTAAGTTTAATTCAGTGATGTTAATTTGGACAGTCAACAGTGACTCCAGTGCAGCACGAAGTAAATAACGAGTGATTTTGGACTAAAGCTTCATTTAAGGGCAAAATATTTAGTTCATGATGTTGCCCCTTATGAAAATTAATAGTCCAGCCCTGATATAGAGGATGTCTTATCATATGAAAGAGTGATTTAATAATAGACTAACTCTGTAATTAAAAGGTTAATGCTGAGTTACATCCTACGTGCTTCCATGTACCCTGGCTAGCTGTTTTCTTGACCTCTCTGTGTGTTTGTGTGTTTTTTTTGTTATGATCAACTTTGTGTTACACTGTGACTGACTGATAAAATGAAAGTCACAATATAAGCTAATGAGGGAGGGTATGTAGATCTATGTGTGCTACTCTTGTGTTTGAATGTGGGTGCAAATGCTCCGTCTGTGTGTGTAGATGCTTATATGAGGATGAGATAGCTCAATTGTTGTCTATGCCAGCATGGGCGTGCTGTGTCTGAGTGTATGCGAATGGAATCTGTGTATTTGTGTGTGTGTGTGTGTGTGTGTGTGTGTGTGTGTGTGTGTGTGTGTGTGTGTGCGTGCGCTGCAGCTGTCATGTGCATCTGACATGTGGTTAATAAGGTGTCACCAATGTGTGTTTGAGATGGGATGCTTTATTCATTCACATCCAATAGCTTACATATTCAATTCATCTCCCAGAGAGACACACGGGGGGTGGGGTGGGGTGGGGGCAGATTGGGGTGGGTAAAGGCGAAAGAGATTCAGAAAGAATGATATGGGAGTGACAGAAGGGGGGTGGAGTGGTTAGGGTGGGGAGGTGGAAGGAAGAGCAAAGAGAAGAGAGGAGTTGGTGGAGAAAAGTTAAATGTAAATAGCTCATTATCCAAAGAATATCCATATCAGAATCAAGAATATGTGTGAATATGTAAACAGCAGAGCAGAGTCATGTTTATTATTCTGCATAGGAGATGTCAGAGCAGAAAGAAATAAGAAATCAAAGCAGGAACGAGCGCCATGAATATTAGATGGTGTACCTCAGATAAAGGTGCTCTTACACTCTCTGGCATAGAGGTTCAACTCTCTGTGTCACATGACCCTAACCATAAACAGATTTTTATTTATTTATTGATGAGGATTATCAGCCAGTAATGGAAGGCGATCTTCAGGACATTGCTGATTTAGTAGGAAAACGTAAGTGGCTAATGTTTATTTATCGTGAACATCTTTTTTTGATTGCGAGAAGGGAAAGAGGAATGAGATGAGAAACTCGCACAGCAGGAGATATGTGTCCGAACATGAAAGGAACCAATCTACATGTATGAAAATAGATTCAGGTTCAAGACGGTGCACTGAGAACGCTGTGTCTTTCATAACCAGCCAGTGTTTTTGGTTTTTTTAACAACGATACTGATACTGTTGAACGATACTGTTGGACGGAATTTTGGTGATTATGAATATTGATCTTGAATCTGGTCGTTAGAAAGATATCACAATAAAATAATAAGGACTGCATGTATGAATGTGGGAGGAGAAGAGCCTCATGTTTATTTATTGGTAATATCAGATGTGAGAAGAAAACCAGAGAGAAATCAAAGAAACAGAGAATATGTTTATTTCACTTTTTGAAAAGTCTGCTTGTTGGATAATTGAGGCTCCTGCAGGACACTGACAACCATGAATATGGACCGTGTTGCTGCATTGCTAATATTTTCGCTCTGAATATTTTGATATTTAATATTTATTTATTGTGAAATTTAAGCTAGCAGGCGAACTGCTGGGAATGGGCTGTTACTTGAGGAATCATCTATATAGATTATAGGAAAACAGGAAAAGGGAGAACTCATATGGATGTGCCAAATATGATATACATAAAAAATTACCCAGGTTTCATCTTCAAAGCCTTAAAGTGGCTCACTGTAGGATGTGAAATTGCCCCACTAAGGTTACTCACAGGAATAGTCTATTGATATTTATAACATGTAGATGACAAAGATGTGCCATTATCATGTGGGGAGACTGTCAGGATGAAAGAAAAGAATCACATTTCTTTAAACAGAGGTGTGTCTTGGGAGCTTGAGAGGTGTGACAGGGGATTCCAAGATATTTCTTATATGTACATTTCCGCCTCTCTTCCCTTTTGTTGAAATATAAAAGCATATGACGGCTAAGTTACTAGCTAACTACCAAGCCTATTTAGTAAACACAGGCTACATGGGTGTTGCTCAGACACAGATAACTGCTAACTGCTAAATATTTTGCAATATAAACAACAGAGCTTCCATTAAAGAACCTAGAGCACAGACTCCTGGGGTGGGCTCTTTGTACACTTGAGCACACAGCTTGGACATCTACTCCAGTGACAAACTATCAAAGCCAACCTGCCCCTTAAAACCGCCCTCATAATACCTTTAACCATTTATACAGTTTTAATTTGTGGGGTTTAACTCAAAGAGTTGCAGCTTGGCCAAAATCCAGATGAATAAAATACTGTCACATTATACAGTGATTTGTTTATTATTCGTTTGTAAAACTTTAATAAGCGATCAATAGATACTTGGTTTTTAGAAAGAAGTACACGTCACTCACACAAGCTGTAGCTTCTCTCAAGATTACTTGCTGGTTTTCTCTCAATATAACAGTCAACTCAGCATCCCTGGGTCGCTTGCTTTTCCAAACAAATATACAAGATCTGATCAAATATCCAGAGGCCAGTTTTAAAATTCAGTGTTACATATACATTTCCTTGTGTACCAAAACAGTACTAAGGTTCAATAGCCCAAAGCCCAAAATTTTAAGACCTGATGGATGGATGCTGGCAAGCAGAAGCTCTGCCTTTACAAGTTTTACTGTAGATAAACAGCACAAGAGGTATGAGAGAGTCTGACTGTGTGTTTGGGTGTGTATATGTATGTGCGTGTCACTTTTGGTTTGGTCAGAGGCGAGCTCTAATAAAGCCTTGCCCTCTGGTTCCTTTGGTGACAGAGTGCATCATCACCACACACACACATCACCATGCCAGCTTGCATTACACACAACCCATGGCCTAAAAATCTCCTGCAATATTACTGTCACACACACAAACACAAACATGTATCAGACTTATGTGCACACACAAGTTGCTTGAATTGCTGCAGTTGGTTTAAGCTATAGTGGTCCACCTCTAAAATGTCCCTTTTTCTCTTGTAGCAAGTCGCACACTCTTAAGTTAGACTGACAGGTGGAGCTTCAGGCATTATATAAAACTATAGAAAACCAAAACTACTACCACTGGACTGTTGTTAATGCAGCTGAAATACACACACACTTGCACGCTCATGCACACTTCTGTAGTTCTGTAGGTCACATGACCTCCAGTGAGCTCCCTAGTGATGTCAGCAAAGGTTTGCGAAAGCTAAACTTTATTGACAAGGTTGCTGACGATGGAAAACAAAGGACATTCCTGGTGGGCTCCGGTCACCAATGAAAACTCTCTCTTTTTCCACTCCTTTCTTATATTAGTCTGACTGTCTCTGTCACCACATTACAAACCACAAAAGCACAGAACCTACCAAAACATCTTTCATAATAGCTTCTGATTGTTTGCTCTTTTCCATATCGGAAGAAAATGAATGACAATATATAGAAATTAATCACAGAGGCAGTGTAGGTCAGAATCAGCATATACATTTGAAGCTTTCCCAGTGTTCATTTGTTTCCTTATTTTCATTTACATTCGACCCAAAAACCTGAGAACGATGAGAGGGTTCACACATGTGATTAATAATAAAAAAGATAGTGACAGCAATTCCACCGCAAAATATTGGAATAACACCATTGATGATTTGTTATATTTTTTAGGTCAGTTGCACAAATGACAAGTGATGGAACAAAACAAGGAGAAAATGTAAAGTTTGAGCTTGTTCCAGCTTTTGTTTTTTTTCCTCTGGAGTCTCATAATGACCCAGTTACATTTCTTACTGTTTCCTTTTTATGTGTATTATTTATTTGTTAGATATTCAGTAGATTTTAAGCAACATTCAAACACGCATTCAAGCTAACACACAAGCTAAAAAATAAATAAACCTACTGTTTTGTGCCCTTTAAAAATGCATCATTGTGAATCTGCTTTATTTCTTCATCTGCTTATTTATCATCGAGTTGTTTACTTTGCTTATTTGATGGCATTGCGGGATGACATGCCGTTGACGTTGGTGGTTTTCTGAAGTAACTTCAACATTCATTATCTGGATTCAGCTTCATTGGCCTGCCTGTGCCTGTGTCTGTGTTTGCACGTGTGCGCGTGCTGTCAAACTTCAGTGTTTCATCTGTTGCTAAAGCGCTGCTTCCCCGTGCGCACCTCTCTGACAGCCACATTCAGTACACACAAAAATGACAACGCAGGCACACAAAGAAAAAAAAAAAAACAGGTGACAGTAATGTGAAATATAACTGTTAATGGAGCAACATACACAGTAACACACAGGCACACACATTTAATTTAGATAATACAGTACTTGCTTTGATATGGTGTGATTGAAGCTGGTGGTGTGTCTGAGAAAGATAAAAATCTTTATGATTTACTGGATGCGAGACAGATCACAGTGCATGTGTGTGAGGAGAGTGATTAATTCATGCGTTGATCTGTGTGTGTGTGTGTGTGTGTAGATGTGTCAAGTAGATCAAACTTTGATGCACTGTGTTTAAAGGTTGTATGTGTTTTCAGCCTGTCAGTCACAGATGTGTGACAGTTATCTGGGATCTGGCTGGCCCTGAAACCATCGTGCATCCATCACATTATGTAAAAACACATCATTTATTCACCAAGCACTTTGTGGCCGTGTTACAGGGACATACGTCTAGTAAAACTACATACTGTGCATAATATTTAAAACTTAATTGCCGTTATTTAGTCAATTATACTTTTTTTCTTATTTTACAGTATGAAATGATACTGTAAGGTAATTAATCGTTACACCTAACAAAGGGGTAGTTCATGAGCTGAATGTTTGGGAAAATAAGCAAACTTAATAATGGTAACCAAATCCCCTTTGAGATGTCTCTAAATTTTTCGGATGCTTATATAATGCATAGATTTCAGTCTGAATAAGGACTTGAATTCCAAAAGCCACCTGACAAGTAGAACAGAGTTTGGCCTCTAGGCTCTAATCGTCTTAGTCCTGCAGAAAACATTTGCACAGAGATATTGGGGAGTGATGGGCAAATATCAGTCCCCTAAGTCAGGGCCTGTTGGTGGCTGATGCTCGGGTGATGGTGATGCATAGCAAACAACCTTGTCAAAACAGAGGGAGAGATAGGAATGTTAGCAACTTATGTGCATTTTTTACTGGGAGGGTTCTTTTGGTAGATCGAATGGAAAGTGAGGGATGTCGCTTTAGTTTTCAGTATTGCATCTTGCCAGTACAAGCTTTGAGATTTAGATTATAGAACAAAAAAGCAGAGGGGGGAACTGGCAATTGCTCATGCTGTTGCTTTAACATAGTAGATTCACAGTCTTGTGGTAGCGAAGATGTTCTGTCATATTTGAATTAGCATGTTTTACACAAATTCTTTCTCATGGACCAAAAATCCATTTGATTTTAACAGAAGAAGTAAGAAAAGCACACATTTCACATCAGAAAAGGGCTTAGTCTGTATTTTTAATTCAGGAAGGTAAAAGGCTTGTCATGTGTAGAGTGTAAACTTTATTATTATGATTTTATTCTTAGTAAAAGGACATGGGATCTAAGCAGCCCTATGAACCATCTTAAACCATTTAATTAGCCATGATGCTCACGTAGCTCAACAGTCACGGTTGTGTTGTGAGTGGGTGTCGTGGCTACAAGACCTAGACCCTAGACAGTTGTCATAGCTGGCAGGTATTCTGTTTAAAATGCTTGAGTTCACAAAGATCATGTGACCACTAATGAGGTATTTTATCAGATTGACTTTATTATGTTTGCTGCCACCCTAAAGTGACCTTGTTTTTGCGAAACCAACTTACATGTTCTTGTTCTTTGTTTTCTCTCCCCAGAGCCTCCGCACCCAATTGCACCACCTCAGCTGCTCGGTGTCGGTCCCACTTATCTACTAATTCAGCTCAATGCTAACTCCATATTTGGAGATGGACCTATAATACTAAAGGAGGTGCGTTAGTCTTGAAGTACTGGATGTTTTTAACATTTTAACATTGTAAATTGGGGCATTGTAGTCATGCAAACTTAACAAATTATGTAATTACTTAACAAACCTTTAACAAAGACCATAACAATTACCATTTATAATCTTACAGGAAAACAGGTGGCTTCTAAGTCACATGAATAATTCCGATTTAGCTTATATGAAGAAAGCTGACCTCTAAGCCAACTTTCTTCTGATTGTCTGCCTCTTGCAAATAAAACACTTAAACTATAGGTTTGTTTCTGTGCTCACACCAGTCATGTGACTGAGAGAACATTGTTGTGGATATCCACCTTCACTTACATCATAGAAAATTGTCTAAAAATGGAGACAAGCTTCTGGTTCACAGGGATTATTTTTCTTGATTTCTTCTTTGCCATGCTTAGTATGTACATCCAGCAATTTACCAGCATATGAAAGAAAATAAGGAAAAACATGATTACAAGTTGTCATTTGCATATTTTCACAAGGTTATAAGTCATAAACAGAAGCATGGTATCTGGTCATGGAGGAAACCTTTGTATTCCAGAGATTATCATATGACACTGACATTAATATTGATGTTCGGATTAATACTTTCTATTCTTTCTAATAGGTTGAGTACCGTATGACATCTGGCAGCTGGACAGAGACTCATGCTGTGAACTCTCCTAACTACAAGTTATGGCATCTTGACCCAGACACAGAATATGAGATCAGGGTCTTACTGACCAGACCAGGAGAGGGAGGTACCGGGAAACCTGGTCCGCCGCTCATTACTCGGACCAAATGTGCAGGTAGGACAGCTGCAATATGTTAACATAGAAGAATTAGGATTCAATGTATTGATTTTGTGATTAGAGACTCTGCCTTGTCAATAGAGTCCTTCCTTATGTATGTTCTCCTAAAAGAAGATAAGCCAGGTTTAGCAAGAAGTCACAGATGGCATTACTTAATTGGTCCCTCTTGATCACACAGGCTTTTTTCTGCTTGTCTTATTATTTATCGATCTGTCCATCTACTGTTCTTTTTGTCTTGGTATATATATTTTAGTTGGTAGGGTGATATTTGTACAATGAGCAGGCAGGAAGAGGAGAGGTGTAGCGAGGGGTGGAATTGGAGAAGAAAGGAGGGGAGAGCCTGAGTCAGTTCTTGGTTGCTCAGTGATCTGCGCAAAAGAGTGATTATAACACTGGAGGCTCTCTGCACTTTCTATCACTTTTTATGCTGTTTTTTTCTATACTTCTGTCACCTCATTCCTGCTTTCTCTCTGCTACTCTTCCTCTTTCATACCTCCCTTTGTGCCTTCTCTATAGCTTTCTTTCTGCTTCGTTCTTTTTCACTGCCTTTCCCCCTTTTCTCCCTGCTTCTCTCTCCCCATCTTTCGCTCTCTGTGGATCAATAGACGGAGGGCAGAAACACTGTCTGACATTTGTAGAAATAAACGACTGAAATATAAACACAGCTAGCCTGAGGGAGAGAGATGGAGCAGGAGCGAGAGAGAGGGTTGATATGAGAGAGAAAGAGACAGAAATAAAAGCAATGAGCTTGAATGAGAAACAGAATAAGGGAGCGATGGAGAGATGATGAAAAACAATAAGGCTGGAAAAGAAAGAGAAAAGAGAATGAGAGTGGGGCGAGAGAGTGCAAGAGGCGAGAGAATGATGAAACTGGAGAATAAAAATGAAAGAGAGATGAAAACTCATAACCACAGGGTCTGACTGATGTGTGCCAACCTGTGTGTGTGTGTGTGTGCATGTGTTTAACAATGAATGGATCTGCACGTATGTGGTGTCTGTTTATTGACAGAGAGGAAGTCATAGACTTGTTCAGGCGACTCGTGTATTGAACAGTTTCCTGTTTGACAGGAAGAGGAAATTAATCTTCTTCTCCTCATTCATGCTGGAACACATTGCTGGTAAAGACGTAAACTCATTGTAATCTACGTAATATGATGATAACAGGCCAAATCTAGAAAATGCGATTATGAATTTAGAGACTAAAGAAAAAAAATTAATCCTGTACATCTGATTTTTTTTCTGTTTTCCTGACTGTAAAAAACTATAGTGTATTATGATGTTTGATATTAAGGCATTAATATTTTATGATTTTTAGAAGGACTTCCTGGCACGTAGTTATTCATCAAATGCATTTCAGACAGTAGCAGTGCAGCAAATGTCCTTATGAACAAACATTCCTCAGATCAATTAGATTAGTTGGATGAAACGAGAGATCTAATACTGAAGACCTTTTCATTGAACAGGGAACTAAAAGATGAGCCACTTTTGTTTGCTGATAGGTAGATTACCTTTGGACAGATGCATACAGGCTGTTCTCACGTGTTTTCAGCCTTTAAGCTTAGCTAGCATGCTTCTGACTGGTATTTAATCTTTGCTGTGGATGTTACATTTTCTGTACACCAAATAATCCCAACAGAAAGCATTGTAAACAACTACGTTTTTAACAGATTTGTAAAGAAGTCCACAGAATCAGCTAAATGAAGTTGAGTGAGAGAATGATCCAAAGCCTAGCTGCCACAAACTGAAAGGCTCTGTGTCTTCCCAGTTCTCAGTTTCGTATGTGGAACAACTAGCTACCAAAGACTGTGAGCAGAAGTGTGTTTAATAAGACTCTGAGATAAAAAAATTTAAAAAAAATCTGCAGCTTGTCCATTTATGTTCCATATACAAGAATTTTAAAATGAATTCTAAAATCTACTGGGAACCAATGTGGAAAGTATAAAATAAGCAATTTGATCTCACCTAGTAGAACGAGTTAGTAGTCTGGCAATGGCTTTTTGTATAGCTTGGAGGTGTGTAAGAGATTATTTATCCAGTATATAGAGCATTACAGCAATCTAGGTGCGCTGAGACAAATGCATGAACAATTTTCTCCAGTTCAGCTGAGAAACTAAAGCTGGCAATTTAGAAATGCTCCTTTAATGAGAGAAACAGGGATATGAAAAATACTTTTTATGAGAGCCATAGAGTGGAATCTGATATTAAGAAAGACATTAGGCGAGTACTTTCAGTGTCAAGGCCAGCGAAGAGGTCAAATTCCTGTGTTACAATTATAAAGAAAAGTAATGTGGTTCTGCACAAAAACAAAATATTACTTTTGTCACTGTATAAATTGAGGTTTCACAAAAGTCATCTCGCTAATATACAGTCAAATAAATTCATTCCATAGTCTTTTATGACTAGTTTATGCTTTCTGTTACAAGTTGCAGGTCTTACTTAATGCAAAATAGTGTAATTTTGTAAATTAAAGTCTACTTTTGAGTAAAAAAGACAATATGATTTAGAGTGTGGCAAGTCAAACGGTACCAGCACACACTGTCCTTACGTAGATCACTCAAAAAAACAAAATAAAATGGTGACATTCAAAATATCTATGTTATAATTTTCTGACTCGCTTTCTGATCCAACCTGTCCTGGCAGATGGCTGCCCCAACTGATCCTGGTTCTGCCAGGTTTTCTTTCCCACTGCAGTCTAGCTTCAATCACACCATATCATCTGATTTTTTGGGTTCTCTCTATTATTGTAGCAGGTCTACCTTACCATATGAAGTGCCACGAGGTGACTGCTGTTGTGCTTTGGCACTATATAAATAAAATCGAATTGAATTGAAAATTAATGGTCATCCACAAATCAGTATGTGAGGTCACAGTCGCACCTTTTATATACAGTATATGATTTGGCACCGTTACTTATATTTTGAATAATATGCTGATGTTTTTAGTTAAATCTCCCCACCTTCTCCCTTTGTGTTTCCAGCGTAACTGAGATTATCCACACACACATGCAAGTGTGCACACACCCTTGGAGTTGGATTGTGTGTGTTTGTGTTTGTTGTTAGAGTGAGGCACACACACAGGCACGGGGTAGGAATGTTATTTAAATGGTAATGACTCCTTTGCTTTTTCTGTTTGGTTAGGTTTGTCTGATCCCACCACCTGTAGTTTACTGAATATTTAGTTTAATACAATATAATGACATGGCATTTGTGGCACGATAGAACACGCTTATGGCCTGACACAGCGCACAAGCCACTCACACCAGCGCTGATCCACAATGCAACACACAGCACACACACGACACAGCAGACACATCACAGGCAACCATCTACACAGCAGTTGCATCAGCACAGCCCAGCGTGCCACCACACGAAACACTGTTTAATTAAAAAACCAATATAGTTAATAAAAAACTGAGCAGACATCACACACACTGCTGAGCAATTGATATGATAACAGGAAGGATTTCATCTCCTCCTTTCCTCTCTTCTTTTGTCCTCACGTCTCTTTTCATCTCTTCCGTTTACATTTTTTTCTCCTCTGTCCCCGCTTCTTTCTCACGCTCTCTCTGTCTCTCTTCTCCAACTCTTCTCGATTTTTCTTCTGTGGTGATGTATTGCTCTTGTCTGAAGGGTGAAATATAATCAACTTGAAGTGAAGGGTTAGTGAGTGTGTGTCGTGCGTGCGTGTGTGTGTGTGTGTGTAACAGAAGGTGATGAAGTAGCTTTTAATCCAAATCCTGAATTTTCTGCTGAAAACCTCTTGGTCATGGGAGGTTAGATCACACAAAAGACACACACACACACACACACACACACACACACACACACACACACACACACACAGACAAATCGTAGTTGCTGAGGCTCGAGCACACACGCAGTTCAAGAGAGTCACAGTATTTCTCATATGTTGCACAAGCTCAGCATCACTTGGATTTATGGAAGAATAGAATCACAAAACACATTTCCAGACACACAAACACAGATGCTGCAGGGAATCACACACAATATGTCATATTTACTTCTTTTTATATGTGAATATGCACACACACAGACACACACACCAGCAGTACAACACTTTTAAGTGTCAGTCTCTTGAAAGAGCAGCCAACAGATTTAGCGACAGAGCGTGTTTTGCTGTGCATGTCAGTTTTACAGTAATGTTCTGTCTGTGTGGGTCCACATTCGTGTGGCAAATGGGATTTTTTTTAATCTAACGGAGGGTCTCTTATTTGCAGGGGTCAGTTTTTCATGGATAGATTTCAGCTGTGTTGCGTACAAAGTGCTTTGCAACCGCCATGAGATTCTGTAGTTCCTAAACCAAAAATGTCACATGCTCAGAAGACATTTTTGAAATTAAATTTAATGAAATTCATAAAAAAAAAATGCAACATGTTCTGTGCGCTGTGGCAAAACAGTGAAAATATGAGCTAAAACACTGCATGAAAGGCGATTTTATTCCATTTTTGACATTTTGTTGCAATAATGTGACACTTTAAAATACACTGCTTTTTAAAGTGTACTGTCATCATCTTTATTTTGTATGAGTTAATATGATTGGACTCTTGATAAGCAGGTCTGGTGAATTAAATTAAACTTTTAGCGTGTGCTCATCCTCGTGCAGTGCATCTGCAATTAACCAGAATCACTGCTCCTTTATGATCACCTAAACTGTGCAAGTTTAAGGGCACTCCTCCTGGAGTGTTGGCCAGATTGTAGTGCAGCCAAACAAGGTGAATGTCAAGGTCACATTTATGACCCATATGGATCGTGAGACGGAGGAGCTACTACATCACTGAGGTTCTGGTTGCTGTTTCTGTGAAATCATTTCTGTGAAAAGTATAAAACCAACTAATTACCTATTAATGAATCCTGCAAGTTGGATGGCCTCATTTCCACGAGCGTGTGCTTTGTAGTTTGATCTGAGTCAATTCCACACCACACTAATGTTCGAACTGTTTAAAAGCCAAAAGGTGAAAGTACTAAGAGGTGTTATTGGTATTAGTAATGTTGAGTTTTATGGGTAATAAGAAGAATAAAGAAAAGAGCCAACTTTACCCTTTAAAAGACATTTGTGGTCTCCTCCCTCTTTGCTTCGCGTTTATGTTCGAATTGCTTTTGAATTTAACTCATGCATGTCTTTTTAATCATCAGACACGAGCTGGATTTCCATTTATTTTTCTCAGCCTCATAATTTGAAACAACTCGCACGGCACTGTATGGATAGTGTTTTTTGGACTTAATTGCTGCTTTCATAATTAGCCTCTCAAAATCCATGTAGCTTCCAAGTGCAAATTGAAAACATGTTGGAGGGCAAATTTGAACCTTTTAAGTACTTAAATGTGGCCTAGAAAGAGAAGCACACATGCAGAGAGAAATTAGAGTTAGAGACAGAATAAATGGATGGAGTTTCATTTGTCTTACTTATGACAGTGGAAGGATTACCAGGAACTAATTGGACAGATTAACTTGGCTTTAGCCGCATCTCCTGTCAACCTTTTCTTTTCCAGCCCCTCCTCTCCTCTTTTCTTCTGCTTTTTCTTCAGCTTCATCTCCTCTCACAATGGTTTTATGGCTGTGTTTGTTGGCTCTTCCTAATACCTCATGTTGAGGGACATGGTTTGGTTGCCTTTAGCATAGTTCTGTTTCATTTAGTTTCATTTCCTTTGCTTTTGTTTTCCATTTTTTAATTCCAACCTCTGGATTCTGCTGATATGAAGCTTTCTGTCGTTGGTGTTATTGTTAGTGTTTATTGGTATTGTTGTTGTTTTCAAAGCTGCATCTGTAGAGAACAAAGCCTTTTAGTTCCAACATGAATCCAGCCGTTTGTCTGTCTACCAAAAGGAGGGGGAAAGGGACAAGGCAGCCTCTGTGGTTTGCCATTGGACCTGGTCCCGCTTGACTCTGGCTGTATTCCAGACGAGTTATCGTCGTTCCCCGTTCCACCTCTGTTTCTCTCTTTCTGTCTCTTGTCTCCGTTTCCCTTTTCTCTCTCTGCTACCTTTATCTGTTCCTCGCTTTCTTCAAACCCAGTTTCATTTTTGTCCATATATTGCTCTGTTCTGCCACTATTCTTTCTGTCTTTTTTCATTCTTTCTCTCTTTCGTTCCCTACCTGCTTCCACTATAAATAGAGATAAGCAGCAATACAATATAAGTCAATAGGGTAATGGGTTTTCAAAAAAGTCATGGTGCGTGTGGGTGTTAAAGACACATAAATTTGTTTACACATTCACATTGTGGGGAACCACCTCCCATTTGGGGACACAAAGTCCCAGTATAATAAATCTTGAAATTATAGGGCCTAATGTTAGGGTTGGGTAACTGGTTATGATGGTAGGTTAGGGCAAGTCTCCAGGAAATGACTGTAATGCCCCCTGAAGTGATGGAAATATGACACTGTGTGCATGTGTGTTTGTGTGACAGGCAGCCAGTCATATATTTTGTTTTAATTCCACGTGGAAGACTGTCTTACTGTGAAGCAGTGTTAGCATCAAGAGACCCTGAAATCAATGTAATTTATTACACTGCCCTAACTGTGAGCATGTGTGTGCGTGTGTGTATGCACCTGTGTGTCATAATAGCTTGTTTTATAGTGAGGATCACAACTATTGATTTGAACAGGGAGAGAGACACAGAGAAGAGAATGAGACAAGTGAGGAAGACAGCGAAACAAAGCGAGAGACAGGCAGAGAAACCAGTGGTCTCTGTCTTGCTCTATTTAAATGTCAACCATCCAATAACAGGTTGAAGCAAAAATGAAATGCTCCGACCCCTCAGCTATTAACACGCATGCTGTTCAGCAATAATATTTTCTCAGCAGACAATTACCTGCACAGCCTTTCTTCCCCTGTGTCTTCTTCTATTCCTCATTTTCTGTCCATCTGTTTGTCACATTATTAGTGACATATTTATGTTTAGAGGATTACGCAAACATTCGCATGACTGCATTTTGTGTTGTTGAGTGTATGTAAGAGTTGTGTGTTTGTCCTTGACAATGAATTGTTATTATGAGAAGTTTTACTGAGATGAACACACATACACACGCACACACAAACACACCTATAAATGCTCTGCCCAGATTTAATCTTGATTCAGTCACAATCTAAAGTGTGAGTGGGTGTGTGTGTGTGTGTGTGTAGGTGCCTGTGAGCTTCCATGCATGTGTGTGTGTGTGAGTGACAGGCAGATAATGGGTTGTCAGAAGAAGCGACAAGTTTGTGTCCTTGTGTAGTCTCCTCTGAAAGAGGAAGACCCAGGGAAAAACACAGAGCAAGACAAGGAGGGGTTGGGGAGAGACGTGCGTCTCTATTTAAGGTGAGCTGTTTTTATTAAAAAATCTTGGGAGGACATAAGGAATCAGGTGGGTTACAGCTAGACCGGATAAAAGAAGAATAAAACATCAACAGGTGATAGGCTTATCAAGGTGAATTCAATTTTTGACGAAGAACAAAGCTTTTCATTAAGTTTGTCTTTGTTTCCCAGTAATGTATTTCACTCTGGCGATGTCAAAGACCAATGCATCCAATCAATATCAGAGTTAATCAAGGCATTTCTTAAGTATTGGAAGTACTGAGCCTGATTAGAAAGATAATTTTGATTATAACATCGAGAACTTTTTAAACTGATTAAAATATCCAGAACAGAAAGTCCCTGAATTTACCAAATTAATCAAAAATAGCAAGCATTTGGATAAGATACTTGAAGAGTGTTGCAACATGGAAGTGTACTGTATTTCACCGCCTTTCTCAAGTGGTTGACCCATTAGGATTAAAAGTCTATTTATATAATAAATTATTAGTAATAAATAAATTATTAGTGACATATTATTAGTGATTTAGATCTATGGCAATGTGCCTGAGGATACACCAAGCTGCTAGCTATATTGTGCTTCAGTTCAAAAATATTTATCATGCTTTACTCTGGAAGATGGTAGAGTGGCAGAGGCATTTCAATAGACTGTTACATCCTCTGGAATCTGCCTTGACTGATGGATATCTTCTCTAGTTAGAAGGAGAAATAACTCTTTGACAGCAATTGGTAGCGCTTAAAGATATTACCTTTCTTCTGTTTTCCAAAGGAAAGCAATATCTTGTGGATTGATAGCCACATAGCTTGAATGCTATTTCCTGTATCTGAGGTAGGCTTTTAAGGTGAATGCAGCAGAAAGCAGGTAGAAATATATGTATTTAAATGTACTCCCTGGCATATAGTGGACTCACAGGCAGGACTCTTGCATGCAGAATGTAGAGGAGGAATAGCACAGCCTTGTGATTATAGTCTCTTCTGTGGCTGTGTGTGTGTGTGTGTGTGTGTGTGTGTGTGTGTGTGTGTGTGTGTGTGTGTGTGTGTGTGTGTGTGTGTGTGTGTGTGTGTGTGT